AACAAAGCAAACAAAAAATTACTTTGAATTACTAACAGCATTTTCCTGCTTATTTTTACGTTCCTTTTGCTTACAGTTTTGCATACAGCTTGCCATGATGTTATATATTTTTACAATTGTAATTCATTATTTTACGTTGCATCGTATCACCAAAGCAAGTTCCTAGTTTGTGAATTTTGAACACTGACAATTGCAATAAAACTGATAAGACTTCATCCAAGCCTACTGTGTTTTATGTGGAACCTGTTGTACTTTATGAAGTGTATTTCTGTGTCTTTCTGTCTACCAATCTACCAATTCAATACACTCCCTTACTAAAGAATTATCGTGTCAAAAGTACCGATAATCAGATACTAATCGACAATAAAACTAGTATTGAAATGGAATAGAAGAACACGTGGGAATATTAAATAAAGTGCTATGATTTAATGTTGAAAATCACACTCTATTGTCTAAAGAAAGAATGTTTTTGGAGTATTCGAGTCTGTTCCTTAGTATCAAAATCGAGTTTGGAATGTTATCGTGACGCCACTACAAAAGAAAAAAATCTAATGACTGAGAACACTGTGCATGTATTTTGTCACATTTGTTCAATTTAAATTTCTGATTCTGGTTTACGGAATAAATCATTTCAAGTAGCGACAACTCAAAATGTGAACTTTTTTGACTGTCCTATACTTTATTTTAATATTTTCAACATTTTCAGTGGTAAATGTGTATTAAGTCAAGTTGTTTTTTGTGTTTTTGCAACAGGTTGTTCATCAGACCTCAACAGACCAACCTCCGTCATGAGTAGAACAATGCAAAAAAGAAGCCATACCCCTCAGAAAGGATGAAAAATTAAGATGCATTGTGATTAACATTTTAACAAAACACTATATCTTTTAAATGAGAAAAGAATGACAGAAAGCGGTAAATTTTTCACTCAAGTACGCAAATTGCAAATGTTATTGTATTGATAACTGCTATTGGGAACTACATCAGCTTCTTTTTGGTTCAAACTTGTTCCGAATAAGTGAAAAACAAAAACAAAGAAGTTCTGACCATGCAAAAATGAAAAGAGAAATGGAAATATATTTTGATTTGAAACTAATTACGGAAAGAATTTACAAGCAGACAAAGATAAGACAAACATTAAACCAACACTATTACAAATATTTTAAAACATGCACAATAATTTAGGTAAAATAGATAAGTAAATTTCAATTTGACAGAACTACACAAATCGAAATTTTGAATTCAAATCACAAGTTTTGCTTTGACGTGAACTAGCACGAGTGTATACAGTATAATCCATTTGCATAATTTAACCTCAGTATTTCTGTTGAGTTTTAAGAAAGAAAAAAACAACAACAAAAAAACAAAAACAATACTTAAAATTAAAATAACATGGCATCATATTGGTTGTTTTGTATGGTTGTGTGTGCTGATGTTCCTCTCTGAAGCTAGTATCTTTGTTTTCACACAAACTTACACTTTAGACTTAGAAATGTTGTGTATTTTGACTGAACTTGATAATATATATTTGCAGTTTATTGTAACTACAAGTACTCCAAACTACAAGTACAGAATCGGCAGTTTAATTTGACCCTGCCCTCTTCTCTGTTAAACTCTACAAGTGACGTGAGGCGATGATGTCTCACTGGGTTTTTGTGACATCAGGTAAATTCAATAAACACTCCTTTGTTTTTGATTTTTTTTTTGTTATTGCAACACTTTCAAATTGTATTTTCAGATTTTTGTAACGTGTACATTACAAATACAGTGTGCATGATTTGATGTTCATTTAGCATTCTTTTGAAATACCAAGACAAGATGTGTTCGTTACTTCAACTATAAAAAATTGAGTTGACGTGACTTGATACCAAAAGTAGTTTCAACTTCATTTTACTACGTAGATTTTGATTTGATTTATTTGACTTCTTTCAACTTATTTTTACAATTTTCAAGCTAGATTATGTACCACTTGAGAAAAGGTACATTACACGCAACAAGAATAAAAAAGATCAACATTTTTCTTATCAGTTGGTTTTAATGTTTTGTATTTATCTTTTTAAAATATGTCCTTTCATAATGTGCAAATGTCAGATTTTTTTGAGACGTTTTTGGATTTATGCTTGTCGTGACAAAATGTTTGCAACAATTACACACACATTATTTTAAACATACAGCAACATAATAGTTTCACTGCAAAAAAATATCTAGGTAATTTGAAATGAATTAAATTAACAACATTTTAAGTAGATTCAACTTGACAAGTGCAGTGATCTACCAATGGAATAAGTGTGTTTTTTTCTTAATTCAAGCAACATTTGAATTTGTTTCTTATTCTAAAGTTCTTGTTGGACTTAGACAGAGAAGGGAAATGTCTTGGACACAGTAGCTCAGACATCACAATATATTATAATAACAAAGAGTAAAAAAAAAAAAAAAAGGTAATAAACGTCTAAATCAGTAGCAATAAAAATATGATGATTGACAAAAACACAGGCTTATCTGTTACATGAAGGTGAGTTGTTGTACAGTAGTAGAGAGTATTATCTATGACATAAGTGTGGGTTGTTGTACAGTTGTAGGGAGTATTATCTGCCCCACTATAGTCTGGTGCAGTGGGTGAGCAGGAGTGTCCAGTGTCCTCCAGTCCCTCACTGTGACAAATGTCTCCAGCTGACAGACGATTTTTAGTTTTTGTCTTATTTTCAGTGTAAAGTGGTAGATCATTTTACTTGTCAAGTCAAATCATGAATTCAAACCATATTCTTAATTCAAATAATTTTAACTTGGCTACGTTTTAGTTTCTGCATTGTCTAAATAAAACTAAAAAACGAAACCAAGAACTGTATTTTATTGTGCTGCTCCGTGATGATGTCTCTCACTCAGATGTGGATAAAGCCCTCATTCCTGCATCTATTGTATGGCATTTTTTATGAGAAAATTCCAAATGTAAAATCTACAATTGTTGAACTACAGAATTTACATATACATTTTGATTAACATGAATAAAGTATACAAACAACATATCAAGATCTCTGCCCTAACCTACACCCTGCATTTCCTTCTGCCTTAGAAATGCTACTCTACATGAGAATTTTGCTGAAGACAAAATAGAACCTAAAAAATAAAAATTCAAAACATTTTTCAAACTTCATATTTTGAAATCTTTTTTGTGTGACATTTTATGAATAAACCTGAAATTTACAGATTTGGAAGTTTCTGTCAGTGTGTCTACCGAATGTTGCAGAGTCATTTTGTGTGTAAATCATGTAATTACTTATGTAAGAAAATGAAATAAACAGATTGAGAAATGGTGTGTGATTGATTTAATTCTGAACAATATAAAAAATTAGAGAGCCAGGAAAATGGTTTTGATGGTTGCCCACAGAAACACACATGCAGTGAGACACACATTTCAGCCAAGCGTACGTGGACTGAGACTCTATAGGGTGTCAGTGAAAATGGGAGGAATATTAAATTATAAATATATTGAATAAATAGTTTGTTGTGAGAGCTCTTTTTTACTGCAAAATATATATATTAGATTAACATTTAAGAATTACTGATAAAACAATTTCAGTGTTTACCAACTTTCTTCTCTCAGTGTCCCCTGTTTGACCACATGTGTTAGTGACTCCATCGTTCAGCTCCTGACAAGCTGCTGTCTAGTTATAAAACAATATCGGCCTAAATGGTTTAGTTAATAAAGGTGTTTTAGAACAGTAGGCTACACATTCTACAGTGTAACAGTTTATGTATTATTTTATATGGTAGTTAACATGACACACTTTCATTGTAAGTCAAGCTGTTTTGTTTTCATCCAACTCTGTTTCAAAACCTTTGGGGACCCCTGATAATCTGTGGTGCCCTAAACGTAGGTACTGACCATTGACTGTACAGAGCCCCAGATTGGGATTCACCGTCCTATCACATATTTCAGACAAGATTTTATTTTGAAATGGCTAAAAAAGTTAAAGCTAAAATTGATTTAGTGGGTTTATTTTAACAGTTATTTACAAACAAAACACTTTGAATATTTTATTATTGAATGTTTTCCTCTTCGACCGGCGTTCACACCGAGATGCAGTACTGTCTGCTGCCACACGGGGGTGCTCTGGTCATTGTCTGTGGTGACTGATGCTGCTGGACATTCAGACTGAGGCTCTGCTCGTGTCGAAATGATTTATTTTCAATAGTTTAGTCTATCCATGCAATTGTCTCATGTTAATAAACATTAGGTAGGCTTGACTTTTGACCACAGAGAAATGTTTGAAATTATGCATAAGCCTTTATTCACTTTTCCTCCTGTAGTGACATAAATAGGCCTATTTAAAATAGCCTGCAAGAATGTTTCTCAGAATAACTCAAATCTCAATAATATAGACCAAACTAAAGTTTATTTTCCTGTCATGTATATATAGTGCTTAATGGAACAGTGTGCACATTTTTCACGGTGCATTATGCGTGTCCACATTATACTGCACAGGACAAGTGGTAAGTGGGTGGATGTCGCCAACAACATGTTAAAAAATAAACAAATGAGGTGAATACTTCAACGGAGGACACTTCTGTGTGTTTTTTCCCCCCCTGTGTTTAGAAAGGTGGCCTTTGTGTCTCAGAGTTAATGCTTAATCTTAATGCCATTATGTGGAACATTCCAGGAAAAGCTATGACATCTGAAGTCAACAGATGGCGGCCAAAAAACTTACACAGGCCTACCATTACCATAGTTTTAATGTACTCCTACTTGAAGAGATTCTACTTTGTAACTAGTATATGCTCACGGGCAAGTACTAGTGTATGCCTGTAAGCATAACGTAAGAGTTGGCTATACGTCAAAAAACAAAAATATCTTAACTTCAATTTTAACTTCAGTGCCCATTATAATATATGAGTAGGGTTGACAAAATATAGAACAAATATTAACAAAATAATATCGGGAAAAAAAAAAAAAAAAAGGAAAACAGCCAATCAGAACGAAGGACCATCCCAACGCGGAAGAGTGAACCCGGAAGTAGGGTCTTTTTTGTTTTTGACGCATGTAATTCCTTCAGAGTGCTCTCCTGACTGGGTCCTGCTCCTGATCACCTTCACCGCGGCTCCGTCCTCCTCTGTCACCCCGCAGACTGTCCCAGAGCCCGCACACAGCCCGCACACAGCCCGCACACAGAGCATGCTGTCCGGGGCAGAGGCCATGCTCAAAGGCGTGGAGGCGCCGCTCTTCTGGCTGGGTGCAGCGACCGCGGCCTGGCTCTCCGTGTGCGCGGTGTACCGTCTGCTCTCCGGCCTCCGAGTGTGGTTCTTGGGCAACGGGCGTCTGGTCTCCCCCGCCAACCTGGGCCAGTGGGCAGGTACGAGCCGTGCACATGTCTCCGGATCACAGGGAGCTGTAGGGAACACTCGTAAAATGTGTATGGCATAAGAAACTTCTCCAAATAGTGGGCCAAAAGTAGATGCAGTAATTTAATTTTTTGCTACTTTGATGGCAGATTTTTACAAATAGATTTCTAGTTTTCAAATCAGGAGTTCCGTCCACGTTTTAAACAAATTGAACAGTATAACATCTTAAATTATATTAAAATATTAACAGCCAAACTAATATCTTATAATCATCCATGCATTTCAGAACATGCTCATAGATAAGCTATGCAAACAACTCCAGAAGCGTGACAATTGAAGTCAGAAATATGAACCGATTAACAAATACAGGAATCCCATGTATTTCAGAACATGTTTGTAGAGCTCTAAACTTCTCGCAGCCTGCAGACTGTTCTACTAAAAGGCAGGATATGTTTTTCTTTGCAGAGAACATTCTATTATTTAAATAAGTGCAGATTTCATAGTTATGCCAACTTAAACTGTGGCTTTGATTAGACTGATTTGTTTTGAATATTGTGCAAGCCTATAGTCTAAACGACAGAGATGAGCTATTTTATTTGCAGGTAAAATTTTATTTCCCAAATTACCCAAATTGCAGCCAGCCATGATTTCATAATTGCAATTTGCAGCAGTACACAATGCAATTATTTGACTGCAATAAATTGTGCAACCCTGCTCATAATAATTTAAGCCAATGAATAGCCGGCTACTACTTGCAACTACAGCTAGACTACAACTTACAACTACTTGACTAGCATGTTTTATAACATTCCACCACATGTTATCTAAATACTTTATAATGCACTGATTGACACCTTGCTTTTAGCTATCTGTTATAGTGCTATCAGGATGGATGTGAGGTGTGGTAAATCTGGTGAGGAGATTAGCTGATCAGACCACTGTCCATCTGTCTGCCTCCGCATGCTGCAGGGTGCAGGGGACTCTGGACTGTGGGTGAGAGGGTGGAGGTGTGGAGCGTGCTGCATTCAGTGTCCTGGTGGTGCAATCAGCTATCCACAGCATGCCATTAAAGTTATCTATCTCCATGAGGATACGTAGGAAATGCCACATGGCCAAGTTACAAGTCACATCTGTGTGTAGGTGAACATGCTCACTGTACAGTTTTTAATGTGTTTGTTGTCAGCAAAACACCTGTAATTGAATGAATACAAGCTAGACAATGTAATGTATACTGTGGGAATGTCCAGGCTAAGCCATGACATCTCCTGGGCAAGTGGCAGACACTCCAAAAACAAACCAACAAACAAACAAAAATGGATCTAACAAGACAAAAGACAACATTAATGTCCAATGTTTGCTTTAGAATTCTGAAAGTTCTCAACTGTTTGAAGTTTACAATGGGACCATTGTTAACTCTCTCACTTCACAGCAAGGTTTTCTCATGTCATAGGCCAGAACACATTGAGGCCTTTCAGGGGAGCAAACATGAAGTCAAGCAGGTAGCAGACATCGAAATGTGTGTCACTCTGAATTGAGTGCTACACATTATCAATCTATAACCTCTCTCGCTGAAAGTGATCGGAAGTGTCATTACAAATATTTGAATTTGATTGGTGGAAGCGTTACAACAACGAAACATGCCGAAAAGTCAAACTTTAGTTAAATCCACTTGATAGTTTCCACTTGAGTTTATGAACTCACAAGTATCATGAAAACCCATCTTAAGCAGACCCTCCATCATAGCATTTATACAGTGCAACAGTGCACCTGTAAAATGATTTTAACCAAATTTAAACTGTACAAAATAGCTAGTGTTTGGTCGACCAGTGCTTGTTAGACCCAGTGCATGCTACACAGGTCTCTGGGAAGAATAGATAGCTAAGGTCAATTAAATACAATCAATCAGGGACTACAGGTGGAAATAAGCACTGGTGCTACAACCTGGTACAATGCATCTGTCCTTTTAAGGTTACTGTAGATTGTGCACTGTCCCTGTCTGTATTAAATAAATAAACTAAACTCTTCTAAACTTTGTGGCCAATGGCCACACTTCTCAAAGCCTGAGCCCATCACATCTCAGATTCTAAGCGAGGCCAGGCCTGGTTTGTATTTGAATGGGAGACCTCTGGGAAACCAGCTTTTCACTTCCCAAACACTCTGAGTTTCGACATGAACACATCGGTCGGTTCATGATTAGGTGTGGAAACCGGCACCGCCACAGTTCTGTTGGCCTGAAAACACTTAAGTAATGCAGAAATGGCTCTAGTGCAAATTATTGTTGTGTCCCTAGGCAACACACTTCACCCACATTTACTAATATTAATGTGTTGTGGGCTTGAGTGTTGGTGGTGGTCAGAGGGGCTGATGAGCAGATTAGCACTCTTCAGTCATTCTGCCCAAGGGCAGCTGTGGCTCCTGTGCGTTATTGTACGTCGGGCTGCTTACGTCTGTCGTGGGCTGTTGCAACCCTCCTGGTCAGATTAGGCTCTCTTTGATCACTGTCCTATACAAACTAATGTTATTTTTAGACTGCACATCCACACGGTACTTAATGATGTCAGATGTGCACGAGGCCGTCTCATTCACAAAGTTGCTCCAAGTAGAGCTGTAGGCCGGAGCGTGTACTGGCTTATGTAACACACTGGGCCATTCAGATGCACATGGCTCAGGGACACTGCTGTGAGTGTGTGAAAGAAGAGAGGACAAGCTAAAGCTGCATTACCAACCTCTTTTTTTCTTGTAAATGGGTTAAGTTTTGTTTTTTCCCCCCAGTAGTATATTGTAAAAACAGCACTTTGTGTCCAAATCTGACCACTCCTCGCTATTTGCATCTAACAGTAAAATGATATCAATGTAAAGTTGCCTGGCAAGTCTGGCATATGAGTAACATCAATGTGCCAATGAGTTTGTGAGAACTAATTAGATTACAATATCTACTTCCTTCTTTCATGGTCTGAAAATCATGTACCTCAAGCTTTGTAATAAGAATCCTTATAGCTCTAAGATCACATATTGTGCATTCTTGTAGCTTTAATCCCTTTATAGACATGATTTTGGTCTCTTTGGGATAAGTTTTTCACATTAAAAATAATGTTTACATTATAAAAACATACTTTATTATCTACACCTCATTTCCAATGAGGTATTTGGGCATTGGAGCTCCCTCTGCTGTCAACAATGGGAATGAACCATGAGAAAAATAAATAAATTAAGCCCTTAAACAACTGCTGTGTTAATAGAGCAATGTGTCGCTGTGATCACAATTTGACCACAGAATGATCCGGTGATGGCTTCTATAAGAGCAATATGGAGTTTTACCTGTGTTGCAACAATCCAGGTAAAATGAAAATGAAGCATTTTTGTGTGCTCATAGAAAATTTATTTCAATTAAAGGATGAAGGAAATGAATTTGAATTAACCAAAATACAACTCCAGGTTTGTTTTTGATGAGAGAACAATTACATAACTGTCAAAATATAATTGTAATTCTTGTCAGCAAAATCGCTATTAGATATTTTTTTCCCCCAAAATCATTCAATCATTCAGCCCTAGATACATGCTCCTTTAGCTCAATCTGCCAGAGCGAACACAGAAAACCCTCCAAACGTCATGTCCACAGTCAGATGGAGCCCCTAGCAACAGTAGTACCCTTAAAACTGGACCCACATTCACCTAAACTGCCCTGCCCCAAAATCCCAGAACAACACGACAGGCAAAACCACTCCAAAGCTTTGGCTCATTTCAAATCGTGACCGCAAAACATTTCATTCTTAAAAAGTCTAAAAATATCCAGACAGAGCAGACTCCCCCCGCCCCTGTGTGAGCCTGCTGCTATATTTAGGTGGCCCCAGGATCCCCGTCTTCTGTTGTCATCCTCATCGGGTTGTTCTCTCTCCTCCTTCTCCTCTTCGTCCTCTCTGCTCTCTCTCTCCTCACTTACTCTCTGTCACCTATTTCTCCCTTTCTTTTGGCTCGTCTGATTTCTCATTGATTTCTGACAATTTAGGATGTTATTGCACTTTAAATGATCTGTGCTTGTAAGAGTGCTTGTATTAAAGAAGCGACATACAGGTTTTGTAATAATCGCATTTAATTCACAATAGTTTTCATATTCAGAATATACTCCCCCATCTCTATGGCAACCAAGAAGTCATGTATCATTGCCTACTAATTCTTTTAACTTTCTTAGCTCATACTGAGTTTAAGCTAACAATTTCTGACATTTCTGATTATGGGGACAGGAGTGGTGTCTCAAAATTGTAGGTCTCACATGAGAAAGGGCTGAAGGTTAAACTTAGAACCATTGTTTGACCAAAGAGTATTGGTATAGATCTTTAATGTGACATTATGAATTGATCTTATTTATATTTCCAAGAGTCTTGGATGGAGACTGAGCCTTTCTCTCGCTATCTACAATCAGTCTCTGTAAACAGAGCGCTGCTTTGAACAGGACCATTTCCATTTAAATGACTTACCTTTTACAAACATGGAAACACCACTAGCACTAGTATGTGGTAGTGGTATAGTTATGGAAACTTGACCACATGGAGCATAGTGTGCATTGTGTGCTGTCATACAGTTCTACACGTCGTATAGTAGCAGTACATTGTTAAATATTAAAATTTTGTTCTTATTTTTTCACAATAATAAATTGGTAAATAGTAGGGGTATAGAAAAATATTGAAATATCGATATATCGTTTCGTTTAATGTGATGATACAGTATCGATATCATGAGCTGCTGTATCGATATATCGCCACGAGTATTTTTTTTGGTGCATTTTACTTAATTATTCTGTTACAGTGCTACAGTTTTGTTGGTTGTTTAGAGGAAGGAAACTCATTTATGCAACACATTTGACATTTTCACTGTTTTGATGAGTAAAATGTTTGTGTTTCATATGAACTTTGCACAAGAAAGTGGTTTAACAAAAACTTTTAGTATCACAGCCCTGATTTAGACATTATTTTTGCTGAACTGTATCAAATCAGTTTAAAATCTATCATATTGAATCGTATCGAATTGAAAGTGCACTGTATCGAGATATGTATCGTATCTACAACTTCTTAGTGATACGCAACCCTAGTAAATAGTAAATTTTAGAAAAGCTTAAATCAGCTCAATAGCTGAAATAATTATCTAAATTGTCCTGTGTGAAATGATGTAATGTACAAAATAATACAACCTAAATGACAATATTTTACAGGTACCACATTGTACAACTGCTATTGTCCCACTTTTTATTGATACATTGGTATAGTTTTAATAGTAGTAAGATTGTATTTTTGTCCAGCTGTAGCGGAACTCTATTCCCGTGCCTGATGCTCGTACTTGTACTCATACGATGTTCTGTAGACGTGAGTGAATGGACAACGACTGACTTTCCCCACACAAACATGAGACAAAGTTAAGACAAAGCCATGTACATAATGCGTGCACACATCCCCAAAGCTGTGTGTTTTTACTCCTGTGGCTGTCACCCATGTGAGTTATATTTAGACCACTCTGATGAAGCACTCGCTGTGAAAAATGGGGGTCTCTAAAAATAGCGAGCGGGGCGGTTGGTGCCAGGCAGTTCCAGGGCATCGCTGCGCGGGCTACGGAGCGCGCTCACTTCCTCCTCCCTGGCCTCCTTGTTCTACTGCAGGATTCACTGATACGGAATTTCAACGGTCGCAATACACTAAAATGACTGAAAGAGGAGCGGCCTCCAAAGAGTTCAAAAGATGATCTACAGTATTTTGGGGTTTGTTGTGATGATGATAATATTTATTTAAGATTTTTTTGCAATCAGTCATATAAAGTAGGGCTGAGCGATTAGGATTATTATATATTTTAATTGTTAAACTGAGGTAGATTCACTTGTGACCAGACTGACATCTTCGTAAAGTATTGGAGAAGTATATTCTGGATCCCAGGCAACATTCTGATATATCTCCCACTTCTAGCTTAGACCTCTACAAACATGATCTGAACTGAGTCTGATTCATGTATTAGTTTAGTCGTTCTTATTTCAGTCTTCTCATTTTATTCTGTTCTCATAAAAAATCCTATAAAAATAAAATAAAAAATTCAAATGCTATAATAATTCAGGAAAATTTCACCTTGAGCTCTTGTCCTCACAGAGTGTTCAGTTTGTAACATAGTTGTTGTTCTTCAAGGCTGCTCTTCCAGTATTTTTAGCATGCTTATTGTAAAGTGTCCTCTGCGTGGTACTGTAGCTGTAACTTTTCTGCTGGAAATAGGCCGACCAAGGTGGGAGAGTGCTCATATGACTGCTTTAGCCAGTTCATTCTGTTGTGTCCTTGGGCAAGACGCTTCAACCACGCTTGATTATTGCACTAAAAACAGAAAAAAACCTGTTTTGGTGGTGGACAGTTTGGCATAAGAATTTTCTTCATAGAGAATGTTTGGAAGTATTGTATTAACTTTCTACTTCCTTGGAATCTGATGTACCTCTTTAACTGCATGAAGTATTCCAACAATTAATAAAGGAATGTAACCGGCGGCTGTAGTCCTTGAGTCCTTTAGTTGAATATTGAGTGGATGTTGTCTTAGTTGACCAAAAAAAATTGTATTATTTGACTTATTATGTTATTTACATTATAAGGATTTATACGTAACAACAGAAAAGGAATATGAAGTGAGCTAGCTGAAGATATGGAAGGGAATCATGGATTTCGTCTTTTTTATTTTCAGATACACAGATATTGAACATTTTTAAGAGCTTTTGTCCACTAATTGATTGGCAGGACATGACCAGTCGCTCAAAAATGTCTTCAACAGATTACTGGTCTAACTGTAACATATTGAACTGGGGATGGAACAATAATAGAAATATCGTGATATCGTATCGTCAGAGTTCTCACAATAATATTGTGGACCATCACAATATATCGAATTACAAGTCTCTTTGCTGAAATTAAGAGTTATGGTGCAGAAATATCTAATAAAAAAAAAAAAAAGACAGGGAACTATAGACCATGATATTTGCAGACTACAAGGAGAAATAACAGTTCTAAGCACCTTTAAGATTTAGTTCTTTGGATTAAGTCTTGTCAAAGCATTTTAAAAGGAAAAAGTAGGATATTAACAGTTTTGTTTGCCTCCACATAATATCGGAATAAATATTATATCGTACCGTGAGATGTATATTGTGAAAATATTGTACTGAGAGATTTGGATATTGTTACATCCCTAATCGTGAGCCTCCCCACCATATCGCAATAAATATCGTCCTGTGAGGTTCATACCGTGGCGATATCGTATCGTGAGACTTGGAAATTGTTACACCCCTATAATGAACGTGGGCTGAATGTTCCATACTAATCTAACGCCCAGGCTCTTGTTTGTTTTGTGTGCAGTGGTGACAGGAGCTACAGACGGCATTGGGAAGGCCTACGCAGAGGAGGTACAGTTTCTCTATTACACTACCACACACACGTACTAGAAAATTCCAGTATCATTCCATAGGAGAGGCACCTGCATTATATTCTTATGGCAATTACAATTACTATATTATTATTATATATATTTTTTGCTGGAAATGTAACAGCTGTGATACTGATATATAGGCCCTGAATTAACAAAAAGATGATTGCATATTTAAGCTGTATTCATTCTCGTTTCAAACTCTAGACCCCTTACCGTGTTTAGACTGTGTGAGTCTTATAGAACGACACATGTTGTAAACAGTACTTGCTCTGTGTTGCAGCTGGCACGTCGAGGCTTCTCTATTGTGCTGATCAGCCGCTCCCAGGACAAACTGGACGACGTGGCCAAGGCTGTGGGTGAGTGACCACCACACTGTGAGCATTGTTACCATGTAGCCTGAGTGCTAACATGGCAAAACAAGGACACACACAGCATCTTGTGTCTACAGATCCATACTTCTACTCTGAACATTTTTGGTTTGCTCTATGTAACTTTATTCGAGTGGAGGATCTCCCACCTGCTTGTCTCTATAGATATGTGTTTTACCCTGGAATGTTCCACTGTATGGCATTAAATATCAAACATGCATGCTTTAAATTCCAAGTTTATGTATTGCTAAACAACCTTGAAAACGAGCATTGATACTGTGAGTATGGTCGTCACTCGTCACCCCACAGAACTGACCCGTTACTGCATAGTGATGCTGTCTGCTTGTCTCCATGGAGATGGATATGTTAATTCCATACTGGGTGCCGGACCGCACACCAGAAGAGTGACATAGTGTACCTTAAAATTGAAGAAGGAACCATTTAATTCTGGATAATAACTGAAAAATACCATGTCAATCCATTGTTAATACTATATTACACAACATTGATTCTTGTGAGGTTTTAGCTGTGTTACAAAGGTGTTATCTCTTCCAAAAACATACCTGAAGTTGTGTTTTGTTTCATTCATACATGTTTGAGTAACCCAAACTTGAGTAACCCCTTTTAAATTTGCTTAAATCTCCAAACCTCCAAATGCTCTGTTCCACCTTGTCATGTCATGAAGCAGTAGCTTTCAAGGTAACAGCTCCTTTTTACTTTTTGTTCAGTAGAGATTGGCAATTCTGTCTGAAATCATCCAAATAAATTCTAGTGAAGGTGTATGAAGTTTAAAAACACAGTGGAGCACTTCTTGTATTACCACGACATCTCGAGGTGTGTTTTCCTTTTGAGAGAACATAATAATAACTAATAAATGTGTGAATGAAACAAAATGCAACTCCTAGTATGTTTTTGATGAGGAAACAACAATACAACACAGATCAGAAAATATGTATAGGCCCTTTAAGGCTTGGTAATATTGACAAAATCAACAACAACATTTATCACCTGATGAAAATAATCAAAGGGCATTTTTGCAGACTATCAAAAATGTTCCAAAATATGTCCGTAAATGGCTTGGTTAAAGTTCAAGTAATGCACAAAAAGCGAACAGGGAATTGAATTAACCACAAAAGTGCAGAAAGTTCTTTTTATTTGTTTGTTTGGGAGAGTACTGTGCAAGTTTATTGTTTATAAGCACATTTGCAACTTTTTGACAGTTTTATTATAGACTATATAGATTTTCTAATTTTCAGTATCTTAAAAATAACTTTCAGTATCTTTCATGGAGCTCACCTTTGCTTCAGCTGAATAATACAGCTCCATTTTGCTTTAAGACCTTTGTGTGTGTGTGTGTGTGTTTACTTCCAGAGAGCAAATACGGGGTCCAGACCAAAACCATCGCAGCGGACTTCAGCTCTGTGGATATCTACTCCAACATCGAGGACGGGCTCCGGGGCTTGGAGATCGGGGTCCTGGGTAAGATTGGAGGACTGTTTTCAGATTTTCAGAATGTGATGGTGATGCATGTTTCCTATTGATTACATTGTATTTTACCATGAAATATCCAAAAGGTAAATTCACAAATGCTGAACCTTATCATTTCTATGGATGGCAACTCCTCCCAGGAACTTGCTATAAGATCTACCCCCATCTGTATTAAATAATATTGGTCAATAGAATGCTGTGATGTCATCTGAAACCCAATAATGATCATGTTTGTAGTAGTTTTGATTGGAACTGTGCTGCCCCCCGGAGGTCACACACATGAATTGCATCTCCGCACACTAATGGTTCATTGTAAGATTTATGTTTTGTTAGTTTTTTTTTCTTCTCTCCGCAGTGAACAATGTTGGGATTTCCTACTCCTATCCAGAATTCTTCCTCCGGATTCCCAATCTGAACAGTGTAAGTTTGACGCTTATTGGATTTATACTGCTCATATAATAACACTATCTTTGTTGCATTGAATTTAAATCACAGTTTGAATGGATGCAATAAGCAAATTGAAAAGGCTACAGTTTTTGAAGTACCGTCATTTCACACACAAACAACAAAATATTCTGTCTTACTCTCCATGAAAACTGCCATTTGACACTGCAGTTTTTTAACACAGAATTTAGCAGACTTTTTCTTTTATTAAGTCATTTTAAGTTGATGAATATTTTGAAGCTTTTTCAAAATGTAAAAATAATAACAATGATCCATGGGTGTCATAGATTATAACTATATAGCAGACACAAGCACAAGGCCTTCTATAAATAGTCTGAATTTTTTACTACACATTTTGAAGACTAACCTGTTTTACTAAAATCTTGTTCCTGCTTGTCTTTTCAGTTTATTGACACTATGGTCAACATCAACATCGTTTCTGTTTGCCAAGTAAGTCAAAAAGGACATTTCTTATGGTACACGTATATCACTTTAACACACTAGTCTAGATTTATCACTCCATCATTTATCACTTTTTATTGTCGAAAAATGCCCTTAATGAACTTTAGTTGCACTGTGTAACTTTTCTTGTGGAGTCCGCCACTTGCTCATCAAGTTTAAGATGCTTTAAGTCTGACCCATAGACTAAAGAGATAAATGGACATAGCTAATGTGCTAGGAAGTGAATATGGGCTCTCTTCCGGCGCCATTGACTTTGACTCCATATCACTTTCTATTGAAAAACTGTCACCCCTCTCTCAGTACCTGCTGCTGTCAGGGTTTTTCATTTTTGTCTTGAAATGATCATATTACCCACTCTATATGATCCTGGTGATAATGTTTATTTCGCTATTTTGTCCATAAATTAAGAGATGAACTTTAATAATGGACAAATCAGGTGCCTTCTTTCCCCAAGGTCATTGCTGCTTGCCTTAACAACAGGTTTGATTAACAACGTTGCTAAGAGTATGCTCCCTGCCAATCCAGGGCTGCGGGAAAGGGTGTTACCTTCAAGAACCTCGCTGTGGATTGGCTCATGGTTGCTTTGATATTCGCTGTCAGGATTCCAAATATGAAACTCTGCTCCAAATTAGCTGCTATAACTGCTAGTCTTGATGAGCTTCATTTGGCTGGAGCTGAGCACAATTAGTGACACCACCCTCCCTTAGTCCTCTTCTTTTATACACTCTGATCTGACCTGTATCTTTTATTAAATAAGATTCAAGGATTTATTGCTATTGTCACAACTCACAAGTAACAGTACACTCAGAGCGACAGTCGATCTGTGTCACTGTGATGCAAGTATCAGAAGAAAAGCTAGACAAAGAGCACAAAGGTACATGCTTTTGTTTTTTTCAGTGCACTGTTTTGTGTAATTCAGTTATGACATAATAGTCCAGATATGGTCAGTAGAAGTGTGTGCTGACGTGCTTTGGTGGAAGTCTGTTGTTGGCCGTTTTGAGCGGGCACTACTCCTACTCTTCTCACACCTCCCCCTTTCCTCTCCTCTCCATCCTTTTCCTCCTCTCATTGTCTTGGCCTCCCTCCTCTGCAGCTTCATCCCACACACACACACACACACACACCACTCTCATCCACTGATGCTGCAGTCCTTCTCATGACTTTTTATTCTTTGTAGATGACTCGGATTGTGCTGCCCCAAATGGTGGATAGGTGAGTGTGTACACATTTGTAACTTTTTAACCCACTTGGACAAACCAGGTCTAAAGATGGATTTAAATTAAGTAGCAAGGCACTCACATATTACTGTAGCTGATTTTTAGATATGAGGTTTGTAGAGTAGCCAAAGACTTCACAAAAAAAGTATTTGGGAAAACTACTAAGAGTAAGAGTAACTTCTGGTTTATAATTTGAAGTTAAGTTTTCTGATCTGTTATAATGTTGTTTCCTCATTACAAACAGACCTGGAGTTGTGTTTTGTTTCATTCACACATGTTTAACACACAAACCCTGCATATTTAGGCTGAGTTCTTCTCTCAGACAGAAAACACTTTGTTCCACCTTGTGATGTCATTTGGTAATACAGGAAGTGTGCTACTGTGTGCTACTGTGTAGTCCAGGAATTGCCAGTCTCAACTGAACTAAAGGTAAAAAGGATCTGTTAACTTGAAAACTACTGCTTCATGACATCACAAGGTGGAACAGATCATTCTGAGCTTTAGCTATGTAGACTGACTAATAATAAAGGATTACTCAAACATGTATAAAAGATTTTTTAAATGACATGTAAACAACAAAATCATGGTGAAATGGTAAATGGTCACAGTTTTATACAGTGCTATTTCAAGGCATTCAAAGCGCTTTACAACAAGGAACCCCTGATCCATACAGACACTGGGGATGAGGGTGGGTTAAGTGTCTTGCCCAAAGACACAATGGCAGCATTCATCTGTGGGTCTGACCACTCAACCAATGTTTATGTTGAGAGCGGGTTCTCATCTGATTTCTTTCTGATCATGGTCTCTTTGACAGCTCACATCAAATTGTGCAGTTTGTCTTGATTTTGATTTGACTGATTTGATTTTGGTGAGCTTGTAATTGTAGTGGGGGAAGAGTAACCAAAACTTAAGTAACTGAATACTGCTACTTCAAAAAAAATATTATTCATGCTAGAAAAGTACTCTGAAAAGTGCAATTTCTTTTAAAAGTGACTCAAGTAATTGTTAATGAATACTACTTGCCTCTGGATGTAGATGACTGATGTGACACAATGTAATTCCAGGAAGAAGGGAGCCATCTTGAACCTGTCATCGGCCAGTGGCATGCATCCTTTACCTCTGCTCACAGTCTACTCCGCCTCCAAGGTAAATCTATGAAAATGTTTCATGTTTCATAAGTTTCATGAGGTGAAAAAAAAAAAAGTACAGTTCTGCCCTATAAACATGTAAAACAAGTTTGTCATACAGTGTTATTTAAATATAATTTAAAAACAATTGACTTTGATATTTTACAAATTTTAATTCAATCAGTAGGCTATTTGTGGAGTTAAAAAAGCTCTATAAAACAATAGAAGATTAATCGCAATTGAATGAAAATTACAATGAGAATGGACACAATTGGCAAATGCTGCAGTTTTTGAAGTGCCGTAATTTCCTCCAAACAAAGCTGCTAACCCTGAGGGTTAGATCTGTATAATGTTCTGTTTTGTGTTTAGTTTTTTTTTTTATTTTTTTATTTTTATGACAAAGTACTACTCAAATCTAATTTGCAACTTCCTTCCTTGGTTGGTTATGGTTTAGGGTTTTACAATTCTAAAAGTGTACTTATCATTTTGTCATCATTTCTGTAATAATTTTCCAGGCATTTGTGGACTATTTCTCACAAGGACTACAGGCAGAGTACAAGAGCAAAGGTGTCATCATTCAGGTAACTACTGTCGACTTTATTAAAAATGATTAAAAATCCATGAATAAATAACAGGCAGACATCGGTGAGCAAAAGATCATTCTTCAAATCATACTTTTAAAAAGACTAGGTCACAATTTACATTTTTGATAGTTCAGCTCGCACTGGTTTATATTGCCTTAAATGAGTAGCTGAAGCTTTTCTGGGAGGATATCCTTCACTGTAATGTATAGGGTTGTTGATACTAAAACTAGTAATTAATAAAATTATAGTCTCATATCCACAAAATGTCAATAAAGGAGACCTTTCCTGAGCAGTTTTAGAATGATTTTGAGCTTTTAGTAAGACCTTATTGTTTATTAAAAGGCCCATATTATGCTATTTTCTGAGCTATGTTATAATCTCACCTGGAGTTTTGTTTTTGTTTCATTCACACAGGTTTAACACATAAACCCGACATATTCTATTTCTATTATTATATTATAGTTCTTGTCTCAAATGAGAAAAAAAAAACAAAACAAAAAAACTCTCTTCCACCTTGTGAGGTCATGTGATAATACAGGAAGTATTCCACTATGTTTTTAAACTCCATACACCTTCACAAGAATTATTTTGATAATTTCAGCCTTGAAATTGCCAATCTGGACTGAACTAAAGGTGAAAAATAACTGTTAATTTGAAAACTACCACTCCATGTCATCATAAGGTGGAACAGAGCATTTTGAGTTTTGGAAATGTAAACGGACTAATAATACAGAATTCCTCAACCATTCGTGAATGAAACAAAACACAGCTCCAGGTAAGTTTTTGATTAGGCAACATAACAAGTTTTAAAGCTCACAAGAGTTGATTTTGTGTAATAAAGGACCTAGTGCCTAGCGCCTGAGAAATGTCATTTCTCTCCAGCGGCTAGGTCAAGAATCGGAATACACTAGACAGTTTGCAACAACCCCGGAAGTGTGAGTTTGGGCACCAGCGAATCAGCGAAGAGCCATATATTCAGTGTTGGCAAGGATTCCTGAGGATTTAAAGCTGGAACAAAGAGAATGTTTGGTGGATTTTATCAAAGGGAAAGGCTTTATTGCCCTTCTTCCTACGGGATTTGGGAAAAGCTTAATATACCAGTTAGCCCCGATAGGGCCGCATTACATACATCACGACCAAATAGCAGTGATTGGTTAAATGAAAAAAGTACCCGCCTACCATCAAGTGAATTAATTCTAACGCTTTGAGGTCAGACGGTTTCCACGACGTGAAACCTGCTGATGAATCAGGCTAACCTTTTATATGTATTCAATCTATTTCTAAAAGTGGAACTAAAATCTACTTTTTTGCTACTAAACCCTTTACTTGGTGTTTTAATAGGATTTTCTGCTGCATCAGAAACTAGGTAAATTTGCTGCATTAGAAATTGAGTGTGGGCTGCCTCCAGTGGCCACGGTGATTTCATGTACTATGTGACATCACGTAGGACTTCCCTTATTACAGACAGGGGTTTCTGACACCTGGCTGCAGGGACGTATAGCTGTCAGACTGTCACACTATTTTTTATACCTTTACTCCTGCACCTTCTCCTCTCATTCTCTCCGTCAGTCCTCCAAGCACGGCTCAGTTTAGCAGCTCTTTATGAAATCTAGTTGTGGGTTGAGTTTAGCTTTTTTTAGTCCCACTCGGATATTGAAATGGAGTTTGAAATTGTAGCATCCCGACACTAGTCACATCACAGCTCAATTTATCTTTGTCATTTCCCCTGCCTGTACTTAACCCCGTGTGTCGTTTCCGCTTCAGAGCATCATGCCGTTCTACGTGGCCACTAAGATGAGTAAGATCCGGCGCCCGACCCTGGACAAGCCCACCCCCGAGCGCTACGTGAAGGCCGCTCTCAACACCGTGGGACTGCAGGAGCGCACCAACGGATACCTGCCCCACGCCGTCATGGTAACACTAGGCACACGCAGGCTAGCTCCGCACCGCCACGGTTCGTCTCTCTGTTCGGTTAAAAGAGGGAGCTTACACGGTGGTAACACGGTGGCTGGTGATGCTCGGTGGAAATCTGATCAGGAGAATGGTTAAAATCACTATTCTTCAAACTACTGTACTGCTAACACTTGCTTTTGGGTCTGGCTGCTTAGATGATACAAATTGCACTATAGTCTAAATAATAAGGCAGCTAACAATTATTTTGGTAATAAATCTGCCCATTTTTACAGTTAAAGGGAAGTGTATATGATTTGAAAACATGAAAAATATTTAAAATTGTAATTGTTTCGCAGACTAACTCAAGTTATTCCGCACTTTCCTAAAGCATTCCTAGAGTCCTAATTATTCACTACGATGAGTTACTCAGAGCTTTTCAGAACTTTCAAACACCAGAGCACTAAATGCAACAACTATCATGCTAACAGCGCACCAGCCTTATTTCCTCGTTTTAAAATTCTTTGTAATTTGGGGGGGAAAAAAAACAGTCTAATTTTGACCCCAAGAGCTGCTTTTACATTATATCTGTACTGGGCCAAGACAAATGTTTACTTAATTACAACTAGTACAGGTTTATTCTTATACCAATTTACAACAATGCAAAAATAATAACTTTCTAATTTTGTAATTTGGTATTTTCAATTTATGTTTTACTACATACCAGTAATTTGAGAACTGTTAAAGCTCATGTATTACACAAAATTGACTCTTGAGTGCTTTAAGTCATGTTAGAATGTTATAATCTCATCAAAAACAGACCTGGAGTTGTTTTGTTTCATTCACACACGTTTGAGTAACCTTTTATTATTAGTCTTTTTACGTCTTCCAAGATCAAAATGCTCTATTCCACCTTGTGATGTCAATAGTTGGAGTTTTCAAGTTAACAGCTCCTTTTACCTTTAGCTCAGTAGAGATGGGAGATTCCAGAGTGTAAATCATCCAAATGATTCTAGTGCAGATGTATGGAGTTTAAAAGTGGTGCATTTCCTGTATCACCACATGACATCACAAGGTGGGACAGTGAGTGTTTTCAGTTTGAAAGCAGAACTCAGCCTAAATATGCAGGGTTTGTGTGTTAAACATGTGAATGCAACAAAACACAAGTCCAGCTATGTTTGTGATGAGGAAAAATTATAACATAGATCAGAAAATGACATAATATGGGCTCTTTAAGCTGACCCAGAACCAGCCTTCGTCATAACATTTCAAGTCACATTTACAATTCCTCATCCCCCAAATTCTGATAGACTGAACTAGTCTACAATTATTGTAATTGTATCTGTACCACAATCAAGTGTGGTATAGCCAGCAGTCTGAATGCAGCCTTCATGTATGTAGCCATCATGTAAAAAGTATTGCATTCTCAGTTCATATTGGCACCTTTGACAAATATGAACAAAATGTACGGACAAACATTGTACTAATATTTTTTAAATGTGGTGTTCTAACTAAACATTGGTATAAAAAATCCTCAATAATCCTCCAGTATGGGGGAATATGAACAAATATTCAAATTGGATGTATATTAAAGGTGCATTGTGCAACTTTTCTGGTGGAGGGTTTGTCAAATGTGTTTCTTCATGGAGATGTTGCTTTGTCTGGACAGTATAATATCAAACCTTCCTATCTCCATGCTATAAAACCATCTTTAATTGAATAAATGTAGCTGTTTAATGCCATAGTGTGGAACATTCCAGGTAGAACAATGACATGTCCATAGAAATAAGCAGGTGATGGACCCCCAGCCCAAACGTTACATAGTGTACCTTTAGATTTGCCTTTTCATCAGGGGTGCCAATATTGGTGAAGTGACTGTATCGTTGATTGCAAAATAAGCTTTTTGAAAAACTAAAGATCATACATCCTCTGTGTCTTACTGTGTCCTCCCTCTTGTGTGATCCAGGCGTGGGTGACCAGCTCGCTCCCCACCGGCCTCTTCCACAAATACGTCATGGGGATGGGTCTGTCCCAAAGGGCCCGCTACCTCAAGAAGCAGAAGACCGGCTAGACCAAGAGCTAGACCAAGGACTGGACCACGGGCTAGACCATGGACCGGACCATGGGCCAGACCACCGGATAGACCTGAGCTGGATCACTACGTCAGGGGCAGACCAACCAACAACCAACCAACTGTATTATCTGGAGCTTTAGTTCACACAGGCTACATTTAACACCATGCAATGAATGGACTTAATTGCTTTCAGTCTTTAAAATGTCTTGAATTTCAAATATTTCTTTTTTGTTTTTTTTTTTGTTTGTTTACACTTCAGAGATATTGCCTCTATCACTTGTTTCAGTACCGTATTTTCTGCACTTTAAGGCACTCTGGATTATAAAGCGCCATTGCGTCATTGAATGGTCTATTTTCAAACTTTTTTCACATGTAAACCGCACCGGACTTTAAACGAAACACAACAGTTAGATGAGTCAGTCGGACTTTGGCACGTTCACGGTGACTCTCGTCTCTGTTCAGTTGTGGTGCGTGGGGAGGGTGCTGTCTCGGACCGCTGGATTGTTGACGTGTTCGCAGTGACTCAGTTGTTCAGTCGTGGCTAGAAGTGGCACATTGCACTCTGTTTTTCGGTCTGTTCCTCCGTTCCATTCCTTGTCTGCGTGGAGTGATGAGTGTGGCTGTGGGTGTTTTTCATTACACGGTCGCTGTCTACTCCGTGTGTTGCGTGCGCTGTGGGTGGTGCAGCTTTGTAGTTTACTGAAGTCGTGCTGGGACACCCGAGTGGATTCGTGTATAGGGCGCTCTGGATTGTGGGGCGCGCAGTTGTTTTTTGATGGGGTTAGAGGCTTATGAGCGCGTCCTATAGTGCGGAAAATACTGTATTTATTTTTGTTTGTTTCAACCAAAATCATCTGCCAGTGGAGAAAGAGAGGATACAGAAAGGAGTCAGAACTATTCATCCATTTTCTTCCACTTTGTCTGGGGCTGATTTGTATTTAGCAAATACTTCCTCCAGCTCTTCTGGGGAGATCCTGAGGTGTTCTGAGGCCAGCTTAGAGACATAGTCCCTCCAGCGTGTCCTGAGTCTTCCTATGGAGGAAGTCAATATTCTGAAACAGTAAAATCAGTAGACTCATCCAATCAAATTAAATATTTTGAATTCAAGTCATTTGAACTCTTCTAGATCATCCTTTTTGCTTTGTGAATCTACAGATATTTTTTAAATTGGAAAATATTCTTTGTTTCATCATTGTTCAATTTACTTCAGTGTTGTTCCACTGTTGCTTTCACTATTATCAGTAGTATACTTGACTTAAGGGAAGTGTGTCATTTTGTGCATTTTTTTTTATCACCTGTTTGACCAAAGTTTAACCAAAATACTAAAATCTTCAGTTTTACAGTAATACGGATTTTCATTTTCAACTGTGATTATATTTGATTTGTGAATGCTTTGTTTTCTACATTCCATAAACACAGACAGTGCACATACACAGACATGTCAGAGGCAGTTTGTCTAGAATGAATCTTCTTTTGCAATAAAAATCTCTTCAAAAATGTCACTTTGTAAGAATCATTTACATAATGGAAAAGTCGTGCGGGGAGGTGTGAGAACAATGAGTCATTATGCTGAGAACGCTGATAAAGGCCTATCACGAGATCCAGAGACACGCTGCAATAGATACTTTGCAGGCATTGTTGTCGACTTTTCCTGGGAAGTGAAGCTAACTGAAAGCACTGCTCTGTCTCAAGATCTGCTCCAGTTAGACTTAATCAGAGCTTTATTTGAACACATTCTGACCAGAAAGAGCTGACTTGCTGCTGTGATTTGTGAGCTTAAACAAGTCTCACATGTAACATCACAGTCACAAACAAGCTTGCATTAACCAATAGTTTTTCAGTTGGTCACATCTTTTTGGTGAAAATTTAACACCTAAACGGGACCATGAATGCTTGTAATTAAGCACAGGCTCACAGAAAATGTGTTGTTTAAATACAATTAAAACATTTTTCTTGAGTTTTCAGACGATTAACATTGTGCCAATAGAGATCCATGTAGCACACCCCCAGAGTGATGTCATCTCTGGGTTGTTCTACATGGTGGGGAGAGCACAAGTAAGTTCTGTAAAATTACTGCCATATTCAAAACAATGGCTGTGTTGTGTAACTTGTGTGGTGATGACCTTATAAGCTGCTTGTTTCCATGGAGATGTTATTACTTGTGGAATAATGTGCAATGTTTCTCAGTATGGCATTACATTTATCTATCTTGCTTTTAATACTCTGTGTGTTTTATAGTTCAAGAATACTTTCAAAATACATGTGTTCTTAGTATTGACAGTATCACCTGCCTGTCTCCATGGACCCCTCCTCAGACCTAAAAAGTGACTTAATGCACATTTAAAAAATATAACAATTAAATACATTATACATTCAAACTAACAGAACAGACAATATATAATATGTTTAGTATTCTGTACTGATACTTGGCAGACGATGTCATCAACATTATCTGAGAGTGTGATGGCTGTTTGCTAATGTGTGCATTGTATCTCCATGGTAACTGCTGAACATTCCACCAGTGCACATACATGTTGAACACCCCAGTGTGATAAAGACTAAAATGTGTCTTAGTATGCAGATTTGTTGCAATGTGGGAAATCTAAAAGGATACAGAAATGATCCGTTTCAACATTAACTGTGGATTTTCCATTTAGAAATCTTTCCTGGAAATAACTTCTGAAGAGAAATGAGTATATTTTGAACCCCACCTGGTGGCATGACATCATCAGTTTACCCACTGGATAAAAGGCTCTATTCACATGTCACAAACCAGGAAAAATTTTGGAAATGTGATGACAACTTCCGGCGCGTCTGTTCTCAGTAGTAAGTCTGATAAAATCTAGGAAAAATTAGAAAATGTCCCAGTTTTCTTCATCTCCATGTCATTGAAGCGTTCTGTTATGTTCAGATAATCAGCAATTACAACCATACCTCAGTTTTCATCATTTTAATAATCAATAAATAATACATAATTTATAATGCATTCATCTCAATTTGCCAGCAAATACTTAACCTGGTAGCCAAATAAGTACTTTTCTATGAAGAACTTGTAGCCTTTTGCTAGTTTTGAGCTGCCTGTAAGTGACATCGAAGATGTGATTAGAGTCCCGTCCCCCATGGAAAGCTTTGTCAGGTTATGGAGACCACTGCTGCTCAATCCATGGTTTTATCATACTTCAGTGGGTTTTATCACAGTCGGACGGCAAGCGCAGTGTCGGTAACTACAATGAGATTTGTCATCTCATGTTTCCAAATGTCTTCTTGATTTCAACACTCAGTTGTGGTAAGCTACTACTGTAGCCACAGCTGCCCTGGAGCAAACTGATGGAAGTGAGGCTGCCAATCTGTGCCATCGGCTCCTCCATCCACCATCACCATCACTCACACACACTCCAGTGACAATAATAAATCTTTATTTATAAAGCGCTTTTAAAAACAAGGTTTACAAAGTGCTGCACAAGCAGCAAGGAACAATACAAAAAGTATAATAGCATGCAGAAAGCATACAAAAACAGACAATGATGCAAACAATCCAATAAATTATAATAAAGAATAGAATAAAAATAAGTAATAAAATCAAGCTAAAACCAGTTAAAAGAATGCCAACCAATAAAAATGCGTCTTAAGAAGTGATTTAAAAGATGATGATGGTGTGAGCCTTATCTCCTCAGGCAGGTCATTCCAAAGCCAAGATGCCTGGACTGAAAAGGCTCCATCAGCTTTCGTCCAGAGCCTAAGCTAGTACTGCAGCCACAGCCGCCCTGTGGCAGACTGAAGAAAGCTAGGCTGCCAATCTGCAACATTGCCCCCCCCAACCACCACCACCATGACTCATGCACCACATTCATACATGTTTGCATAATTTTATTGTCAAAACCAACATGTGTGAACAATCTAAAATAAATCAGATGACTCTCTCATCAGACATGACTGTTGACATGACATTTGAATAATCTGATCACTCCAGAATTCAGATCATGGTCAGATTTGTAGTGTACATGTAGAAATAGAAGTAGCCTCATCTCTGTCCTTCAAATTATCTGTGACTTTGTTCTCTCTTTCTTTTCTTTCCCCTCTTTTCATTTCTCTCCCTCTCCAGAATCTTCTAATGACCATCCGCTCACATTTTGTCATTGTCAAACCGCTGACTACTTCTGCTATTTCACAACCACACGCACACACTATCTCTCTGTCTCTATCTCACCCCAAATATATGCAGTCCGTCTCCATGGCGACAGCTCCGGCTCCGCGATTCCGGTGGTCGGCTATGGACGCTTCCGGAACTGTGTCACGGGCTGGTGGTGGGAGAGGGAAGCCCAAAGCGAGAAAGGAGTGGGCAGATGATGGGTATATAAGACTCACTCAAAGTACAAACTGCACACAGCTTTGAAACCTCTTAGCATCAGAACTAGCATCAACCACTAGAGCGATATCCGGCGTTCCCATGGCAACCAGCATGGACACACTGCCAGCCCACCTGCTCCCGCTGGTGATGGAGGAGTTTCCCCAAACCCTAGAAGCGGGCTGTGTTTGCCGGGCAGGACAGAGGGAGCCCAGGCTGAGGTGTGTGCAGTGCGGTATCATCCAGGAGGAAGAGGAGGAGGGGGACGGGACGGAGCTGGAGCAGGACCAGGCTCGCCGCTGTTACCTGCGTACCCTGGAGAGCCTGAGGAGGAGTACTCGGTGAAGAGGAGGACGAAGAGTGATGAAATGAGAAGTTATCCTATCGTGACCTGGTTGTGTTCCACAGCAGTGATGAGGTGATGACTGACATTTGGATCAGTGGATCTCCAGAGCTGTAGCTTCTGACAAAGGAGCAGTGAGGAATGAGAACTGTCCAGAAAGATGAGGAATACCTGAGAAGAAAAACCTTGTCTTCTGTTATATTTTAATATTGTTTCTTTCTAACCAATGCTGAAAGGACTTTGGAAGCTCTTGAAAATGGTTCTTTGGGACAGAAACACTGGATGTGTCAGATCAGAAGGTTCCAGATGACGCTAATGGACACTTACGTTTTTGCTCTCTGCATGCACAGACTCTGAAGCCATACTTTTGCAATGATTTATACACTTGTATAATATTTCATTTGACTGTATTTTGTCAAGGGCTCATATTTCCTCTTTAAAGGTATGACAACTGAATCATGACTTTGATTTTGAGAATGTGTTTCAACATTCTCTTATGATTCTATTCCATGTAATATAATAAGACTTGTTTTCTTTTGTGCACACTGAATGCAATCTGAGTGATGTCTATGTTGTGGCATAGTTCTATATTTTTGCTTGATTTGGTGTCACACTGTGTGTGTACACAACTATATTGAATAAATGAGATCATTTGGAAGTCATGTGTCTCAGACTTTGTTATCAGTGTGAAACATGCATAACCAAGGACCATCTCAGTGATTTTTTGACTTTTCAAGTGCCAAAAGTAGGAAACATAACAGCACATCAAAACTGAGACTAAACCCAGAACCCAGATCTAAACCTGGTCTAGACCGGGGCTAAACTAGAACTGGTACTGGACCAAGTCTCGACTAAACAAGGCTCAAAGCAAGAGCAAACTAGCACAAGTGTGAAACTCACCTGGATTACTTTTTTTTTTTTTTTTTTCTATTGCTTTGGCATATTAATGGGCAATTGCAAAACCGTTCACACAGACTCTTTAACAGAATTTTAACTCAGCAAAAACTAATTCAAAACTGATCAATCTTCTCCCAAAAGTTTGTTTTTACCATTAAAACTCTCAGACTAACAGACTTTCCGTGCTCTTTCATGCATGTGACAGAGCAGCTCACATTGCGGTTCACACTTTAGACATAGGAATCAATGATCAATGTATTCAAACATTTTAAAAAACATAACATCTATTTATAGCAGACATGATCTTACACAAAATATTTCAAATCAGCAAATACACAGCAATACTGTGTGTAATAGGCTACATATAGGCCTTTACAGTGTGTGCTCTGCTCAGACACTCGTCTCTGTTTTACTCGTGTGTGAAAATTTGTTGTTAGATTTTGGATTCTCACATATTGGAGTTTTTTTGCTCTTATGTTTGAGTTGTTCTGAAAGTGATAGAGTTTGGGCCCATGTCTTTGACCACATGAGAACAGGCCTGTGGTGTTGAAAAAACACCTGAGAGACAAACAAATACATCAGCACTTTGCTACAAGCACTAAAACTAAGCATTTATGCCAACACACTGCAACTACACTGCATGGCATATATGGCCTACATACTATATATTATAACTTTGTTTAGTTTGATCATTTGCGTCAAACATATATCTGAACAGTGCAACAGGTGGTAACATCATTTGGAACATTTCTCCACAGTTCATACAGTTCTTAGGGTCTTGCTCAGGATACTTGGCACGTCTCTCATTCATAAACAAACAAGACCAGATCGTTCTCACGTGGTAAGAGACAATGATCTTAATACTGTCATTCAAACCACAAGCCGCTTCATTATAGAAACCCAAACGTAACAAC